TATAAATAGAAAAACCAAAACTTGTTACAATTTGACCCCAAAGGGATCTGTCTGGCAAATTGTAGTCTATGACATTTCAGATTTACATATGATAATCTTTCACAAAGTAGTTTGTTTTTCAAAGTAAATTTAGTTAAGTAAACTATATTTTTTCTTATGGGTAGCTTTAGTGTAGCTTTACTTCTTCCAGTGTGAAGTAATTGGTAGCTTAGTAAACTATGTTCAGAGTAGCTTCCTCAACACTGCCTTTAATATAGACCATCAATAAATCTTTAAAGACTTGCTAAAGTGCCATAATTCTGCATTTTGTCATGTCCCTCTGTGCACCCTCTGACTTCTAGGAAGATTTTAATCCAAGTTACCCCAACATTTCTCAAAGTTTTCACCATCATTGTAAAGCCCTAGTTATTATGTTGCTTTGACAAAGGCATTTCTGAAGATTATTAATTATTTAATGTGATTAGTGGTTCCTTTTAAAGTAACAAAAAACCTGTCCCTCATTTTAAGGTCAACCCTGTTATGTGAACTGAACTCTCGTTTTAATATGATGAAACTAATCCTTTTTAAAATATGCTTTTTTTTAAAGAAACATCTTATAGTTGAACCCTAGTGTAAAAGCAGGTGACCTGGTTCTACTCTTTTTGGCCATTTTCTGGTGGAAAACTGAGCAGGTCGAGCATAATGCATAAACCCTGATACCCAGAGATAGACAGGCTAGAAATGTTTTAACAAAAAAAAAGAGCTTCCCACTGGGCACACCATGTCATTTCAACGTGGAACATTTTGTAATACAGTGGCTTGCGAAAGTATTCACCCCCCTTGGCATTTTTCTTATTTTGTTGCCTTACAACCTTGAATTAAAATTGATTTTTGGGGGGTTTAGCACCATCCATAAATTCTGACCAGTTTCCCAGTCCCTGCCGATGAAAAACATCTCCACAGCATGATGCTGCCACCACCATGCTTCACTGTGGGGATGGTGTTCTCGGGGTGATGAGAGGTGTTGGGTTTGTGCCAGACATAACGTTTTCCTTGATGGCCAAAAAGCTCAAGTTTAGTCTCATCTGACCAGAGAACCTTCTTCCATATGTTTGGGGAGTCTCCCACATGCCTTTTGGCAAACACCATACGTGGTTGCTTATTTTTTTCTTTAAGCCATGGCTTTTTTCTGGCCACTCTTCCGTAAAGCCCAGCTCTGTGGAGTGTACGGCTTAAAGTGGTCCTATGGATATATACTCCAATCTCCACTGTGGAGCTTTGCAGGTCCTTCAGGGTTATCTTTGGTCTATTTGTTGCCTTTCTGATTAATGCCCTCCTTGCCTGATCCGTGAGTTTTGGTGGGCAGCCCTCTCTTGGCAGGTTTGTTGTGGTGCCATATTCTTTCAATTTTTTTATAATGGATTTAATGGTGCTCCATGGGATGTTCAAAGTTTCCGATATTTTTTTTATAACCCAACCCTGATCTGTACTTCTCCACAACTTTGTTCCTGACCTGTTTGGAGAGCTCCTTGGTCTTCATGGTGCCACTTGCTTGGTGGTGCACCTTGCTTAGTGGTGTTGCAGACTCTGGGACCTTTCAGAACAGGTGTATGTGACAGATCATGTGACACTTAGATTGCACACAGGTGGACATTATTTAACTAATTATGTGACTTCTGAAGGTAATTGGTTGCACCAGATCTTATTTAGGGGCTTCATAGCAAAGGGGGTGAATACATATGCACGCACCACTTTTCCGTTATTAATTTTTTAGAATCTTTTGAAACAAGTTATTTTTTTCATTTCACTTCACCAATTTGGACTATTTTGTGTATGTCCATTACATGACATCCAAATAAAAATAGGAAAAACGCCAAGGGGGATGAATACCTTTGTAAGGCACTGTACACACTTCCTCAAAATAGTCCGAATTAATCTAAGATAATTCAAGAAATCTGTCATTAAGTTTGACGTTTTTGCCAAGAAGATCATAGTCGTGCAATTTTACATATAATTAAGATGTTTGGTGCAGTATTCCTCAATGAAAAAATTCCATGAAAACAAGTTGTCTCTTGTTGAATGACAACAAATACTTTTATTGAAGAATCCCTACTGTTGACCAATCACCAATGAACGGTCGTAGACTTCGGCTACTGACTTCGACTTGCCTTTAGAAAACTATTTTGGCTAGGAAGCATGTGGACGCCTTTACTAAATAAAGGCATCCGCATGATTCCCAGCCGAAACAGTTCGGAACAGTTTGTGCATATATTGTGCCGACATTTTGTGAAGTTTTTGTTCGTTTTGGACTTCACCTGCTGTAAAGTATCATGTAAATGTCATGATTTGAACTCCACTGTACCTATAATGACGCTGCAAAGTTTGGAGTCCCTCTTCCCTTTGTTTCCTTCCATATTCATTGTTGACATGTTGGCTGTTTGTCAGGGTTCTGTTATAGAACATCAAATATGTACTTTACAAGCAACAAACCATGACCTACAGTGAGGGAAAAAAGTATTTGATCCCCTGCTGATTTTGTACGTTTGCCCACTGACAAAGAAATTATCAGTCTATAATTTTAATGGTAGGTTTATTTGAACAGTGAGAGACAGAATAAGAACAAAAAAATCCAATAAAACGCATGTCAAAAATGTTATAAATTAATTTGCATTTTAATGAGGGAAATAAGTATTTGACCCCTCTGCAAAACATGACTTAGTACTTGGTGGCAAAACCCTTGTTGGCAATCACAGAGGTCAGACGTTTCTTGTAGTTGGCCACCAGGTTTGCAAACATCTCAGGAGGGATTTTGTCCCACTCCTCTTTGCAGATCTTCTCCAAGTCATTAAGGTTTCGAGGCTGACATTTGGCAACTCGAACCTTCAGCTCCCTCCACAGATTTTCTATGGGATTAAGGTCTGGAGACTGGCTAGGCTGGCTAATGTGCTTCTTCTTGAGCCACTCCTTTGTTGCCTTGGCCGTGTATTTTGGGTCATTGTCATGCTGGAATACCCATCCACGACCCATTTTCAATGTCCTGGCTGAGGGAAGGAGGTTCTCACCCAAGATTTGACGGTACATGGCCCCGTCCATCGTCCCTTTGATGCGGTGAAGTTGTCCTGTCCCCTTAGCAGAAAAACACCCCCAAAGCATAATGTTTCCACCTCCATGTTTGACGGTGGGGATGGTGTTCTTGGGGTCATAGGCAGCATTCCTACTCCTTCAAACACTGCGAGTTGAGTTGATGCCAAAGAGCTAAATTTTAGTCTCATCTGACCACAACACTTTTACCCAGTTCTCCTCTAAATCATTCAGATGTTCATTGGCAAACTTCAGACGGGACTGTATATGTGCTTTCTTGAGCAGGGGGACCTTGCGGGCGCTGCAGGATTTCAGTCCTTCAAGGCGTAGTGTGTTACCAATTGTTTTCTTGGTGACTATGGTCCCAGCTGCCTTGAGATCATTGACAAGATCCTCCCGTGCAGTTCTGGGCTGATTCCTCACCATTCTCATGATCATTGCAACTCCACGAGGTGAGATCTTGCATGGAGCCCCAGGCCGAGGGAGATTGACAGTTTTTTGTGTTTCTTCCATTTGCGATTAATCGCACCAACTGTTGTCACCTTCTCACCAAGCTGCTTGGCGATAGTCTTGTAGCCCATTCCAGCCTTGTGTAGGTCTACAATCCTGTCCCTGACATCCTTGGAGAGCTCTTTGGTCTTGGCCATGGTGGAGAGTTTGGAATCTGATTGATTGATTGCTTCTGTGGACAGGTGTCTTTTATATAGGTTACTCCCTTTAAGAGTGTGCTCCTAATCTCAGCTCGTTACCTGTATAAAAGAAACCTGGGAGCCAGAAATCTTTCTTATTTCCATCATTAAAATGCAAATCAATTTATAACTATTTTTTGAAATTCTGAAACAACGTAGTTTGACATTAGTTCCCTTCCAAAAATAACAGCATAATTTAAATATAATTACAAATGGTTAAAAAATAAATGTGTCATACTTGCTTCCGGCATAGTAAAAGGGTCTGAGCCTTTGCAGCGCATTCTTGAGGGGGATCTCTCATTTCTCATCTCTCGTCTCCGCTATCCCTGGAGCATGAAGGCTCAAGATATTGGACAGCATAATGGCAATTCTTAGTACAATTAGAATACCTTTCCCACATACATTGATCAATAATGAGAATAAGGGGTTGGCTCACGTTGTGAAGGGTCCTCCTCACTTGTCACGCTCGTCGAACACAGTGGACCAATGCGCAGCGTGATAAGTGAACATACTTTTATTTAGATTCACCACACGAACAAAACAACAAAACGATAACGTGACGTCCTTGGTTACAACACAAAACCAACACGGAACAAGATCCCACAAAACACTGTGGAAAACCGGCTGCCTAAGTATGGTTCCCAATCAGAGACAACAAGCAACAGCTGATACTCGTTGCCTCTGATTGAGAACCACCCCGGCCAACACAGAAACACATGAGCTAGATAATCAACCTAGAACACAAAACACATAGAAACAACACACCCTGGCTCAACATAACAGAGTCCCAGAGCCAGGGCGTGACATCACTATAATCACGGCTTGCGTGGTGTTTTAGTTTGCCATTTCCCCTCACCACCAATACTTAATGGATTGCAGGGCACTTCGGAGCAGATTTTAGTCTAGGCTTGGGTAGGCCTAAAAATACAAAAACACATGCAAGTGTAAAATAACATCCATTATTTTTCTACACACATTTGTAAGGCAACCTAAACACAATCTAATTTCTACCAAACTTTAAACCAAAATTCTAAATGGAAAGTTTCATACTTGTGTCTGTCACAGCAAAAGGGTCTGATCCTTTGCAATGATTTGGTGAGGGGATCCCTCAATTAAGATGGCAGAAGGAGACCTTGAGCCCTTATGCTCCAGGGTTAAGCCATGTGAGAGACCAAGATGATTCTCTGCAATAAAAGATTGGACAACATCATGCCAATTGTTTTTACAATTAGAATACATTTCTCAAAGACAATGATCAAGAATAAGGAGTTGGCTCACGATGTGAAGGGTCGTCCTCACCATCATTAGGTTACTTGGTGGCTTGTGCTGCGTTTGAGCCTTTTGCTTCTTGATAGCAGTGGCACAGGTTTGAGTGCTTCTGAGCATATTTTGGTGGGGGCTTGGGTAGACCTTTGCCTGAAAATAAACATACAAGTGTAGAACCTGAGCCTGTTCACCCCGCTACCATCTCAGACCCGGCGCCAGGATAAAGTGACTAAGGGTGCAGTTGAAATTGGCAAGGGGGAACCTGAGGAGTATTTTTCTCCACTCATACAGGAGTAATTAAGGCTGCAGCACCCTTGTTAACATGCATTAGAGAAACTGACTGGATGACTTAGATAGGACATTGTTACAAGACTAGCAACACACATACGTATAGTAGTATACTGTATATCATGGTTAAACAATGCATTCTTGACACACAATTGCTTTCCATATCAATGCTTTCATTATCAATGTGGGTCTCACAATTCAAGAGCATACAGATGCAATACAATAGCATTTAAATGGATACAGCAGCGTTTCCCAAACTAGGGGTCGTGACCCCATGTGGGGTTGCCTGAAATGAAAATAGGGTCACGGGAGAATTTCCAAAATCCGGAAGATTTGTTTTAAATACAAAACAAATATATATTAGCCTATAATATCATATTTGTATCTCAAAATCATTGTAATGTAATGTACCTTAAAAATCGACATGAAAATTATAAAAATCTAAAAGATAGAATTCTATGGTGTAAGAGAATGATGAGCAGATAAGAGGCAATCTGTAATTTCGATTAAGACATTAATGAGCGAGTTAAGACCGACGTAGTCAGTATAACTATTTGTTTAGCACTTTTGAAATGTACAGCGACAGAATCCAGAACATGGGCCGTTCTTACAGTATTCTCCCTGTACACCAAGCCAGAACCATAGGATAAATAAAGGGGGCATTTAAGCAGACAATGAAAGCTCTTACAATATTCGATGATGACATTTCTCTAAAATAGGCTATAGGCTACATGTGCACCACCAAGTCAGAACAGCAGGCTAAGTTATGAGGGGGAAAGGTACCAAATTATTAGGGTGAGGCACATGGGCTAATAACAGCTTACTACACAACATACACTTAGTATTACTTTCTTAGCTACAGTATACATATCTCTCTGGCATATTACATCATTTATGCAGTAGCATACAATACATTTTTGGACTCACCTTGTTGTGCTGTGCTCACTTGAACAGGAAGGTGGCGTGGCTGTCCTTATTGTGGGCAGATTTTGTCATCAAACTTTGTCATCAAAGTCTGGCATTCTCTGGATTTATGGTGCTTTCAAGACAACTGGGAACTCTGAAAAAAATAAGGATGAATCATGATATAATAATATGCCATTTAGCAGACGCTTTTATCCAAAGCGACTTACAGTCATGCGTGCATACATTTTTGTGTATGGGTGGTCCCGGGGATCGAACCCACTACCTTGGCGTTACAAGCGCCGTGCTCTACCAGCTGAGCTACAGAGGACCACATGATGACGTCAGTGATCTTCAGGTCGGAGCTCTAGAAAGACGCCTGAGTTCCTGACTTGGATTTCCGAGTTGGATGACTGTTCAGAACGTATTTTCCCAGTCAGAGCTTGTTTCTTTCCAAGTTCCCAGTTGTCTTGAACTGACTGAAGTCTGAGATTTCCCAGTTTTGAGTTTCCAGTTGTTTTGAACGCGGTAGAAGTCATGCTGGATTGACAGCATGGCCAATGTATTCAACCTTTTCTGGCCCATGGTGTTGCATGTGAATGTTTATCCTTTTAAGCTTGGAAAAGAGACTCTTAAACCCAGACTTGGACCACACACCCTCTCCACTGAATAGCAGGCTAGTGATTGCTTTGCAACGCTTGCAGTTAGCCACTGATTTGCGATTTACAACTTGTTGTGTAATGTTTATGTCCAATGGCCGATGAGCACCGATACATTTTATCTATAATTTCTCTTCATATGACAAGGATTGAAAAGGATTTGCCAGTAGATTGTTGACTTGATTCATGATGATGACTGCTTCTCTAGCTTGCTAGCTAAGATTTTGAAAGTATGATGACATGATCAGTCCAATCAAAGCTACGGTAGATATACCATGATTTGACGTCATTTTATCTGTGGTCAATGACCTTGAGACTTCTTGGATGGGCACTTCTAATGTAAATCTATGGCAGCACCCAAAGGGCTTGAACTTTCTAGCTCTCCCCGTAGATTTTGCGGTGACGTAGTGTCCGCATGAATGACAGAACACTGAGCCAATCACGGCGCAACTAGAGAACATTACCAACCCCTACGCTCTGTATTTTCCTCTGGCTGCCCCACCACCACAGATAGCACTGAGCTAGGCTGAAACACCTGCATTTTGGAGCTGCCTTAATAAAGAACGCAAAGAGGAGACCATTTTTATATGTGGCTTTATTAACTCAAAGATGATTTTTTTTTATACATTGTTTGCAAACTGATATGTGACACGTATTAATGCCAAAATAACATGCAAAACAGGCAAAACAATTATATATATATATATATATTTATTTTTTGCTAAACAGGTGGGGCTCAACACAGGTGGGGCTCTGCACCACATGCCTTGAATGACGGGTCGCCACTGCACACAGGTGATGATCGCTCTCCTCCAACGCTTGGAAGAGCACTTTGGGACCTACTTCCCAATCTATTTGATTGTGATCCTGGCCCAGTTGACATGCCGGTAAGTGAAATTGAACAGCTGATCGAGCTGTCATGTGACCGAATGCATTCACGGGTCACAACAGAGGAGTTTTGGTTCCTGACTCAAAGGGAATAAATACCCTGCCGTCTCCCTCTAAGCATTAATGCCGTGTTCAAAACAACTGGGAACTCGGAAATCTCCGACTTCCGACTTCAGTGTGTTCAAGACAACTGGGAGCTCCGACTGGGAAAAATAGTTTTGGACGGTCATCCAACTCGGAATTCCAACTCGGGAACTCAGGCCTCTTTCTAGAGCTCCGACTTTCCGACCTGAAGATCACTGATGTCATGATTTGACCTCGTATTTTTCCATGTTCCCAGTTGTCTTGAAAGCACCATCAGTGCTCTCGTCTGCATTAAAACCAAATATCGATCCAGGTTGGATGTGACAGCAGAGATGACGTGCGCACTGTCGACCTTGCCCCCTGACTTTGAGAAGCTCAGAGGCGACATGCATCAAGCACACCCATCTCATTAGTGGTGGTGAGATAAGATACATTATGTCAGACTAATTTGCAATTGACTGTCATAGCCCCACATTAAAAGTATGTGATGGTGAGTTGAGAAGACAATCAGAAATACTGTTAGAATGTTTTTCAATTGACTGCCATAGCCCCAAATAAAAAAGTTAACATTTGCTGTTAATTACAGATTTTATTTCACATGGTTGGGGTCGCGAGAATTTTCAGATATCAATTTTTATGGGGGAAACCCTGATACAGTATAATCAACAAAAGCTAGAGTCATTTGCTGGTATTTCCAGATTCAAGAGGGAGATAGAAGACCTTTGTGTTTTCATCCCTGGGGGTCTTGGGAAAAGCCCAGACATGTCAGGGACCACTGGACATGCTGCGGCATAGTCACACTCTTAATCCTATTCATATTATATTTTACTAATCTTTAAAAGAAAGCAATTCAATTAATCAATTGGATACACCACTAATGCCCCAAAAAGTGCTATTTTCGTACCAGTCGGGTGTAGTGGAAACACTAACCAACACACATGCCTCCCGACAAGGGGGGTTCGAGCCACGCTTGGCCACTGTCTGTGCCCTTCCTTTCTGTGTCCCTCTTGATATCCGTCTCCCTCTGTACTTCACAACTATCCAGTCAAAATGTATCCTAAAAACGTAGACTACTAGTTTCCTAAATTTAGGGAATATCCTGTGCTTTAGGTAGCCTACATAATTTTGCAGGATTGGTCCAGGGTTTTGTGAATAAAATGGTAGAACTACAGACATAAATAGAAAAACTAGGTCTTTCTATGATCGATTTTTACACCATAATAGAGTTGTACACTTCTTTATAGTTCTTGGCACACAAGCATTTCAGCATGGGGTAAAATTACACAACCATTTATCAGGCTAAGTAGGCTTCTTGTGTATCTGTGGGCTGTCTGTGCGGTCAAAAAGGTCAACACGTTGAGGAGGATTCACCTTGACTTGAATTCTTTGTCATTAATGAGGACTGGGGGACTTCACTCCTAGCCCAGAGTATACAGTGGCTTGCGATAGTATTCACCCCCCTTGATTTTTGAGGAGTTTATATCATTTGATTTACACAACATGCCTACCACTTTGAAGATGCAACATATTTTTATTGTGAAACAGACAAGACATAAGACAAAAAAACAGTAATAACTATTCACCCCCCCAAAGTCAATACTTTGTAGAGCCACCTTTTGCAGCAATTACAGCTGCAGATCTCTTGGGGTATGTCTCTATAAGCTTGGCACATCTAGCCACTGGGATTTTTTCCCATTCTTCAAGGCAAAACTGCTCCAGCTCCTTCAAGTTGGATAGGTTCCGCTGGTATCCAGCAATCTTTAAGTCATACCACAGATTCTCAATTGGATTGAGGTCTGGGCTTTGACTAGGCCATTCCAAGACATTTAAATGTTTCCCCTTAAACCACTCGAGTGTTGCTTTAGCAGTATGCTTAGGGTCATTGTCCTGCTGGAAGGTGAACCTTCGTCCCAGTCTGAAATCTCTGGAAGACTGAAACAGGTTTCCCTCAAGAATTTCCCTGTATTTAGCGCCATCCATCATTCCTTAAATTCTGACCAGTTTCCCAGTCCCTGCCGATGAAAAACATCCCCACAGCATGATGCTGCCACCACCATGCTTCACTGTGAGGATGGTGTTCTCGGGGTGATGAGAGGTGTTGGGTTTGCACCAGACATAGCGTTTTCCTTGATGGCCAAAAAGCTCAAGTTTAGTCTCATCTGACCAGAGTACCTTCTTCCATATGTTTGGGGAGTCTCCTATATGCCTTTTGGCGAACACCAAACGTGGTTGCTTATTTTTTTCTTTAAGCAATGGCTTTTTTCTGGCCACTCTTCCGTAAAGCCCAGCTCTGTGGAGTGTATGGCTTAAAGTGGTCCTATGGACAGATACTCCAATCTCCGCTGTGGAGCTTTGCAGCTCCTTCAGGGTTATCTTTGGTCTCTTTGTTGCCTCTCTGATTAATGCCCTCCTTGCCTGGTCCATGAGTTTTGGTGGGCGGCCCTCTCTTGGCAGGTTTGTTGGGGTGCCATATTCTTTCCATTTTTTAATAATGGATTTAATGGTGCTCCGTGGGATGTTCAAAGTTTCAGATATTTTTTTTATAACCCAACCCTGATCTGTACTTTTCCACAACTTTGTCCCTGACCTGTTTGAAGAGCTCCTTCGTCTTCATGGTGCCGCTTGCTTGATGGTGCCCCTTGCTTAGTGGTGTTGCAGACTCTGGGGCCTTTCAGAACAGGTGTATATGTACTGAGATCATGTGACACTTAGATTGCACACAGGTGGACTTTATTTAACTAATTATGTGACTTCTGAAGGTAATTGGTTGCACCAGATCTTATTTAGGGGCTTCATAGCAAAGGGGGTGAATACATATGCACGCACCACTTTTCAGTTATTTATTTTTTTGAATTTCTTGAAACAAGTGATTTTTTTTCATTTCACTTCACCAATTTGGACAATTTTGTGTATGTCCATTACATGAAATCCAAATAAAAATCTATTTAAATTACAGGTTGTAATGCAACAAAATAGGAAAAACGCCAAGGGGGATGAATACTTTTACAAGGCACTGTATCTCCTTACAACCAGCACTGGGTCATTGTCTGTCTACCAACACCAGGTGACACAGTTTGGGAGTCATTCGATGGATATGGTCAGGGCAGCAAGCACCAGGACTCACGGAGGACCACCAAGCCAGAGCTGGGGCCGATGCAGAACGGAGAGGAGATGAGCCCTCAAGCACAAGACAGCAACAAGGCTGGAGGGGCGGCCGCGAAGGAGGAGGAGAAGAGCCAGACCCCTCAGACCTACCTCCGCCTGGGCCTCCCGAGTGCACAAGGCCCAGGCTCGTCTTCCACACCCAGTTGGCCCATGGCAGCCCCACAGTCCTCATCCATGGCTTCACCAATGTCAAGGAGCTGTATTCCAAGATCGTCGAGGTGTTTCATATCTCTCCCTCTGAGGTACCGTAGGCTGGGGTGTTCTTTGTTAATTTCTGCTGGTTGGTTAGGCCAATACAGTATAAGATCTGATCATGAGGATGTTCTGATTTTAAGTCATGCTGGCAGGTTGAGTGATGTTATGAAAATGTAATATCTTAATGTTTATCTGATTTACTATTTTGAGAATTGTAGGTAGGAGGTGTAAAGTTGGTATAAAGTCTCAAATTAGACTGATGTATTACACAAAAATTTACTCAGGATCATTTTCAGAGTTGGAAGGACTTTGATCATTTTGACTTTTGATCGAATGTTACGTATAAAATAGTCAGTTTGAAAATAATTTATGAAACATTCCAGAACATTCCAGAGGCGATTTCTGAGATCCAGAGTTTACTGACTTGTCTTTACAGTAACTATGAATGAATGCTTTTAACAATGAACAACTACAATGTGTGGATGGCCTTCTAGTAATGTCGTAAAAGCAGCTGGAAGAACACACATTGTTCTTGAGAGAAATGTACTGATCTGGCCTGATGAACAACCTTTTAGTGGTTCACGGCTGTCCACACTGCAACCTGTTGCTGTCTCAATGCTATCACAGATGACAGAAAGATAGGGATTATCTAAGGTAGGTCAGTAGAATTATATAATATAGTTTTAAGAACACATTTGATACAATAATACAGAATCTTCCTTTCTTGGGGGGTACAGGTTTTGTCTTGTAAATGTTCCTAATAATGCTGTAGTTTGTGTATGTGCTATTATAGTTTTTTTTTTTTTTTTCAAGGCTTATGAGTGGGAGTACCCTGAAATGTGATGCAGCCAGCCATGTATAGAGCAGAACTATCAATATGGAGTCACGGTTTCACATGGGTTTTCACACGGTTTCATGTGGTACTGGTGGTATCCAGGGCAAAGCTTCAGAGGCTAGTGAAGATTAGGTCACGTCTGTCTAACTAGTATCACACTATTTAAGTCCATCTGCTCAATCTGTTTTACTGTATGTGGTTCTTGGCATTTATGTAATTTGTCTGTAAATGTGGAATATGTAAGTAACTGTCCGGTGTTTCCAGATTTCTATGAAATATGACCTATAATTATTTACAATATGAGTGAAATAGTTTTCCTTAAAAAATACATTAAAAGTACATTAAAAAGCAGCTTTTATGTGTTGGAATGGTGTGGGCATACCCCAACAATAGAATGGTGTGGGCGTATACCGGTCATAAAAGATATGAATGCGAGTAGACCGCTGATTGGCCAGCTCATCCTCTTCAGGAGGATGACTTCTTCATCTATGAGGAAATAGCAAGCATATTCTGATTCTATTTCTAATTCTAGGCCTTTGCATAGCAAGCTGGCAGCATTTCACATTACAACCTGCAATAAAGCTCTAGTGTCACTTGCTAGACAGGCTTATAACTGTCCTTTAACTAGTGTCAAAGACACCAGGCTAGGCTGAGACAAGAGTTTATAGGTAACAAATGACCTACAGGTAGCAAATTCAGCATCGAGAGAGATTACATCAGAGCAGAGGTTATTTCTTTTCCCAGAAATAGCATTAAACTAACAGTGTTTTAAGAGGTAAAAATATAAAACTATGATTCATTGACCACTAGCTGAATCCAGTGTTTTAGTGCTGGGCTAGAGAAAAGGATTGTCCTGTCCAGATAAGATCACAAAATGACCTTATGAAGGGCAGTCGCTTCGGTGACTCTGTTGCAACACTGCCCTCTGCTGTTGAGATTGAATGGTATGATATTGGAATTAGGAAAGGTTGTGTGTGTGGGCAATATGTTGTGAAATATTCAGTTACAGCCAGAAGAGAATGGATGGATTCTTCCTTCTAGGGAGTTTTTCCTAGCCAATCTGCCTCTGCTTCTGTTTTCTATTTGGTGTCTAGCCCAGGTTACTGTAAAAGTACTTAGTGACAACTGCTGATGTAAAAGGGTCTTTATAAATACATTCGATTGATTGATTGTTTGATCGGAAAACTGAAATCAGTGTTCTTATTGGGCAAGTTCAGTTAGTAACGTTTCACTCTGTTTAATTTTTTTCCTCCCTACTGAACACGATCCTGTCATATCCTTTGATGTTGATGACCCTACTGAAATTCCATACAGATTAATCTTTAGACTTTATTACATTTTGGGGGTCTATTCTTCAAATGTATTTGATTTAGAGGAATAGGCCTATTTACTATTTGTACAAGCCATATCCATTCATTCTCACCACTTCATGGTGTTCCATAGAGTGGTAGCTGTTTTTTTGTTGTTGAATGAGATTACATGTTCTGAACTATACTGAACAAAAATATAAACGCAACATGTAAAGTGTTGGTCCCATTTTTCATGACCTGAAATAAAAGATTCCAGAAATTTTCCATACGGACAAAACATTATTTATCTCAAATTTTGGGCACAAATTTGTTTACCTCCCTGTTAGTGGGCATTTCTCCTTTGCCAAGATAATCCATCCACCTGACAGATGTGGCATATCAAGAAGATGATTAAACAGCATGATCATTACACAAGTGCACCTTGTGTTGGGGACAATAAAAGGCCACTCTAAAATGTGCAGTTTTGACACACTACACAATGCCACAGATCTCAAGTTTTGATTGAACGTGCAATTGGCATGCTGACTGCAGGAATGTCCAACAGAGCTGTTGCCAATAATGTTAATTTCTCGACCATAAACCGCCTCCAACGTCGTTTTAGAGAATCTGGCAATACATCCAACCGGCTTCAAAACCGCAGACCACGTGTAACCATGCCAGCCCAAGACCTCCACATCCAGCTTCTTCACTTGCATGATCGTCTGAGGAGGGTGCTGAGGAGTATTTATGTCTGTAATAACGCTCTTTTGTGGGGAAAACCTCATTCTGATTGGCTGGGCCTGGCTCCCCAGTGGGTGGACCTGGCTCCCAAGTGTGTGGGCCTATGCCCTCCAAGGCCCACCCATGGCTGCGCCCCTGCCCAGTCATGTGAAATTCATAGATTACCTAATTAGTTTATTTCAATTTACTGATTTCCTTCCATGAACTGTAACTCAGTAAAATATTTGATATTGTTGCATGTTGCGTTTATATTTTTGTACCTTCATATATTTCCTGCTGACCATTGCTCCTCTATCTCTTCTCTCTGTGGGCATAGATCCTCTTCTGTACTCTGAACTCCCACAAGGTGGACATGCAGAAGCTGTTGGGTGGTCAGATCGGCCTGGAGGTGTTAATCTTTGCCCATGTCAGGTGGAGGCCACCAAGACAGAGGACGCCCTCGGGCTGACCATCACTGACAACGGAGCAGGATACGCTTTCATTAAGGCAAAGACGTAAAGTAAGTAAGCAAGCCTTGTCCGAGCCAGAGCAGCCTATACAGTGCATTCGGAAACTATTTAGACCCCTTGACCTTTTCCACATTTTGTGATGTTACAGCCTTATTCTAAAATTAATTTAATTAATTATTTTCCTCAAATATCTACACACAATACCCCATAAGGACAAAGCGAAAACAGGTTTTTAGAAATTTTAGCCAATTTATTGAAAATAAAGTATACATAAGTATTCAGACACTTTGCTACGAGACTCGAAATTGAGCTCAGGTGCATCCTTTTCCATTGATCATCCTTGAGATTTTCTACAACTTTGATTGGAGTCCACCTCTGGTAAATTCAATTGATTGGACATGATTCAGAAAGACACACACCTGTCTATATAAGGTCCCACGGTTGACAGTGTATGTCTGAGCAAAAACCAAGCCATGAGGTTGAAGGAATTGTCTGTAGAGCTCCGAGACAGGATTGTGTTGAGGCACAGATCTGGGGTGGGTACCAGAAAATTTCTGCAGCATTGAAGGTCCCCAAGGACACAGTGGCCTCCATCATTCGTAAATGGAAGAAGCTTGGAACCACCAAGACTCTTCCTAGAGCTGGCCACCCGGCCAAACTGAGCAATCACGGGAGAAGGGCCTTGGTCAGGGAGGTGACCAAGAACCCGATGGTCACTCTGACTGAGCTTCAGAGTTCCTCTGTGGAGATGGGAGAACCTTCCAGAAGGACAACCATCTCTGCAGCACTCCACCAATTAGGCCTTTATGGTAGAGTGGCCAGACGGAAGCCACTCCTCAGTAAAAGGCACATGACAGCCCGCTTGGAGTTTGCCAAAAGGCACCTAAATGACTCAGACCATGAGAAAAACGGAAAACCCGAGTGGCGCAGTGGTCTAAGGCCCTGCATCTCAGTGCTAGCTGTGCCACTAGAGATCCTGGTTCGAATCCAGGCTCTGTCGTAGCCGGCCGCGACCAGGAGACCCATGGGGCGGCGCACAATTGGCCCAGCGTTGTCCAGGGTAGGGGAGGGAATGGCCGGCAGGGATGTAGCTCAGTTGGTAGAGCATGGTGTTTGCAACGCCAGGGTTGTGGGTTCGATTCCAGTATAAAAAATAAGAATGTATGCACTAACTGTAAGTCGCTCTGGATAAGAGCGTCTGCTAAATGACTAAAATGTAAATGTAAAATGAGAAACAAGATTCTCTGGTCTGATGAAACCAAGATTGAACTCTTTGCCAAGCAAAGCATCACGTCTGGAGGAAACCTGGCACCATCCCTACGGTGAAGCATGCTGGTGGCAGCATCATGCTGTGGGGATGTTTTTCAGCGGCAGGGACTGAGAGACTAGTCAGGATGGAGGGAAAGATGAACGGCGCAAAGTACAGAGAGATCCTTCATGAAACCTGCTCCAGAGCGCTCAGGACCTTAGACTGGGGCGAAGGTTCACCTTCCAACAGGACAACGACCCTAAGCACACAGCCAAGACAACGCAGGAGTGGCATCAGGACAAGTCTCTGAATGTCCTTGAGTGGCCCAGCCAGAGCCCGGACTTGAACCCGATCGAACATCTCTGGAGAGACCTGAAAATAGCTGTGCAGTGACGCTCCCCATCCAACCTGACAGCTTGAGTGAATCTGCAGAGAAGAATGGGAGAAACTCCCCAAATACAGGTGTGCCAAGCTTGTAGCGTCATACCCAAGAAGACTCGAAGCTGTAATCGCTGACAAAGGTGCTTAACAAAGTACTGAGTAAAGGGTCTGAATACTTACAGTATGTTTTTTATTTTTAACACATTTGCAAAAAGTTCTAAAAACCTGTTTTTGCTTTGTCATTATGGGGTATTGTGTGTAGATTGATGAGAGAAAACTAACAATTTAATCCATTTTAGAATAAGGCTGTAACGTAACAAAATGTGGAAAAAGTCAAGGGGTCTGAATCCTTTCCGAATGCACTGTAGATGTAAAAGCCAGAAGTAGGGGCTAGAGCAGCGTTTCCCAAACTCGGTCCTCGGGACCTCAAGGGGTGCACGTTTTTGTTTTTGCCCTAACACTACACAGCTGATTCAAATTATCTTGATGATTAGTTGATTCTTTGAATCAGCTGTGTAGTGCTAGGGCAAAACACTAAACATGCACCCCTTGGGGTCCCGAGGACTGAGTTTGGGAAACCCTGGGTTAGAGGTAAAGGTCTGAGTTAAAGGCCAGGTTTTACATAAAGAGAGAAACATACCGTGAAAAAGGATTGACACATTTAAGGACTGGGCCAAATCTCAGCAGGGGAATACAATAGGACGTGGCTGCGCTTCCGTGACGTTCTATTTCCCCTCCCTCACTCCCTCCAAATGATGGTAAAGTTTGTCACAAAGCAGGCTCAAGGTTAAATTTGAGGTGATATGTATTTTAGCATACATGATAAAGGCCTATATGTGCTACACCATACATACTGTATTTGGAGCAAAACAATGTATTTTAACCACAACATTATTTGCTAAAAAACGAACAAAAAATGATTGTTTTCCTTCCCAGCTGTCTGTAACTCCCCACCAATTGTGCTATTGAAGCCTTGCATATCCTTAATTACTGACCATTCCCTGTAATATTTTCTTTACTTATATGTGTGAATATGTAATATTAGAGCCTAGATACTTATCAAGATGCCAGCATTTAACGGAATAGGATTAAGTAGATGAACTACCTTCTACCCAAACCCTATCTTCTTTTTCTGCAGAGGATAAAGGAAGATAGCACCATTGACCGGCTCAAGACTGTATGCGTGGGCGATCACATTGAGGCCATCAATGACCAGAACATTGTCGGGTGTCAGCACTATGAAGTGGCTAAGATGCTAAAGGAGAAACCAAGGGGAACATCCTTCACACTACGACTGGTGGGGCCCAAGAAAGCCTTTGGTGAGTAACACTAATTCACAGGGTGTTGTTGAGATAACCATTTAATTCTAGGTAATACACATTCATTGATTGTACAATTTTTTTAATAAACAGAGTTTAGAAGAATAATTAATTTACTTTACTTTTTAGTTTCAGGGTAGTAATACATGTTTTTTTTTAAAAAAGTGTCAAAATTATTGGCACCCGTTTTCAATACTCCGGCACCCTCCCCTTGCGAAGTAACGGCACTGAGCCTTTTTCTTAAATGTTTAATGACATTGGAGAACACATTGGGAGGGATCTTAGGGCATTCCTCCATACAAAATCTTCCCATATCCTTTATATCCTTCGGTCTGCGCTTATGGACTACCCTCTTCAATTCAAGCCACAGGTTTTCAATGGGGTTCAAGTACGGAGACTGAGATGGTCATTGCAAAAAAAATATTTTGTGGTCAATTAACATTTTCTTTGTGGATTTTGATGTATGCTTGGGGTTATTGTCTTGCTGGAAGATCCACTTGAGGCCAAGTTTCAGCCTCCTAGCATAGGCATAGGCAACCAGGTTTTTGGCTAAAATGTCCTGGTACTTGGTAGAGTTCATGATGCCGTTAACCTTAACAAGGCCATCCTTCTTTCGACGCCAAGCCCACCACTGGTGTGCGTGGCCAAAGAGCTCTATGTCGTGAACATTGCACTGGTTCCAATACTGATGTCGTTTAGCAAACTCCACGAGTTTACATTTGTTGGTTACTCTCAATAAAGGCTTTTTTCTGGCAACCCTTCCAAAGAGCATATTGGCATGGAGGTGGCATCTAATTGTAGATTTGGAGACCTAGTGAGCCAAAGATGTGACCAAGTTTTGTAATTCTCCAACTTTGGATTTTTCTTTTCCTCCAGAACCATCTTCCTCACTGTGCGTGGGACAAGATACACTTGCGTCCAATACCAGGCAAGTTCACCACTGTTCCAGTAGTTTTAAACTTCTTAATTGTTGCCCCGATAGTGGTAAGTGGTATATTGGGTTTTTAGCAAAACATTTTTACCCATTGCCTGATATATGAAGGTCAACAGATTTGTCTCTTTTCGTTTGTGAGCTCTTTGCCTTTTCCCATGGTGATGGATGACAAAGGGATTTTACATGCATTTTACATCATTTTAATACCCCAGTAAAAAGGGAAGCCATGGAAGGCTACAATACAGTTCCTTAAACTGAGATTAATTTTAAAAAGTAGAATGTTAATGCAGATTTTAATTTTGGTTGATTTTATTTATAAGAATCTTTAGGGGTGCCAATCATTTTGACACCTATCTTTTTTAGAAGAAAAAATATTAGTTGTTAAACAAAATCTCTTTCTCTTTCTATACAAGAATATAATTTCACAAATTTTTTCAGCATACAATATAGCTCAGTATTTGTATAATTTATTTTATCAAGTATTTTTTTCTCATCTTGTTACAGGAGGTGGTCGCAGTTCCGGAGCGACCCACTAGGTGTCATCCTCCTCACTCACAGTCGGGACTAATCATCATCCTATTGGTGTCACCTGTGTCCGTTATTTTGTATCCTGGCTTTGGGACCACCAGGAAAGATCCTTGTTTCACAATCTTTATCTACTGTCTACTGTCTATCCTTCACCGCACCTGGGTCACACCTCACACCAACCCTTACAGAAAACTGAGCCAATATGGACCCAGCGGAGGCAGCACAGTATCACAGTGCATTGGCAACGCAGGGAGCCATGCTGAACCAGCATGACCGAAGCCTGCAGCAGATCACCGAGAATCTCCGGCAGCTGACAATCGCTGTGCAGTGCCGGATGGACACCCGACCAGCCCCGGCAGCCGGAGGAACGGACGCCGCGGTAGCGACATCGCGGGAACCCAGCCTACCACCTCCGGAGAGGTACGAGGGCTGCAGGGAATTCCTCACCCAGTGTTCACTAGTATTTAGCCTACAACCCTCCTCCTTCCCGACGGAGCAGGGCCGGGTGGCCTACACTATCACTCTGTTGACGGGTCGGGCCCTTTCCTGGGCTACCGCGGAGTGGGAGAGCCAAACTCCGGTGTGCTCCGACTCCTACCACCCGGGAGCTACGCAAGATGTTCGACACCTCTCGGGTGGTGTCGGGGCCTGTCGGCAGGGTGACCGTTCGGTGGCGGACTACTCTGTGGAGTTCTGGACCCGGGCTCGAGAGGCAGGATGGGAGGAGGCCGCCCTGGTCGTCCTTTACGCGCAGGGACTATTGGAGGCGATGAAGGACGAACTCTCCTTCAGGGAGTTGCCTGAGCGACTGGACGGCCTTGTCGACCTCTCTGTGTGGGTAGACAATCGGCGTTGTGAGAGGGCGCAGGAGAGAGGCATGACGCAAGGTGCGCCTCCGCGTCCCCCTATCACCCGGAGGCTTTCTGCCGATTCAGGGAGGAGACACCTCAGGAGGAGGCTATGCAGCTGGGTGCGGCACGCTTGTCCAGGATGGAGAGGCAGAGGCGTCTGCGCCAGGGCGTTGCCTGTACTGCGGCCAGGGAGGTAACCACTGCGACTCATGCCCGGAGAAGCTGGGAAACGGGAGGGCTCGCTAGTATCGGGAGGGGTGCTAGCAGGCCGGAACCGAAACCCCAACTCCAGAGACTCCCAGACTTTTCTCCCTGTCAGGGTTCAATGGGCCCGCGCTGCGCGTTGGCCGCATTCACTGGTGGATTCTGGGGCAGCGGGAAACCTGATGGACGCGGGGCTGGCCCAAGGGTGGAGCGTTCCGTGACTCTCCCTTTCCGAGCCGGTTCCGGTCATGGACCTGGACGGCCGGCCGTTGGGGTCGGGCTTCATCACCCGGCGCACTGTTCCCGTGCGTGTCCGGGTGGTGGGGGGCTATGGGAGGATATCCAGTTATAAAGTATGGTCACATTTCATTTGCTCTCTTAAACCCACCCTTTGGAATGACTTCGATAGCAACAGTCAATTTATTTAGTTTTTAAGTGGAGCCCTCTCAGCAATCATTCTCAATGACTAAAATGTAAATGTAATAGTAAGTGACAAATGACAAGGCTAAGCAGGGTTTGGTTAAAACCCTGGATGGGAGACTAAAGGGTAGCTGTAGATAGATCAACTCTCCAGTAGGTGGTGCTGTTATACAAATTCAACATGTTTTCTACAAGGTTTGTCTATGTTGAAATGTGGTTACCATGATGGCATAATCCTGTGGTTGAAATTTCACCCTCAAAACAACAGTAACTTTTTTTCAAATCCAGATTCCACGTCACGATACGTTGACAAATTACATTGAAACAACGTTGATTCAACCAGTTTGTGCCCAGTGCGCCAGCACCCTCCTCTAGTCAGAAAACATAATTATATACCCTCTGCGCTCCTCTACATCAGGGCCTGTATTCATAAAACTTCTCAGAGTAGGAGTGCTGATCTAGGATCTGTTTAGTCTTTTAGATCATAATGAATATGATTACATGGACAGGGGTGACCTGATCCTAGACCAGCACTCCAACTCTGAGATGCTTAATGAATACGGCTAAGGGTCCTGGAGTGCTACAGGGTGTGACTGTGAAGCTAACAGCATTAGTTGATTTATGTTTATTAGAACATTAGAATACCAAATACCTGAAAACAAAAACCTGCATGCCTACTGCTCCACTAGGGTTAAAAAATAGAAAAAAGGGGTTATCAAGGGGTTATCATTTCTATATTTAAATGATCCGGTAATTGTTTTGTGCTCTCGCACCATCGCACGCACAGATGGAAATCCCCTACCCAAACCCACACAAAAACACATACCCTATATCAATGTCTATGTACCCCTGGGACTTTGGAAAACACATTTAATTTCTTGACAAGGTTTACCGGGGAATGAGACCATATTTACCATATCTCGTCCTGTCACAAGGAAAGAGGAAGGAAAAGCAAATGGCTCACAAGGGAAATTCCCTTTTCAGATGAACAAGAGACATGCAGAGATTTGGAGCAAACACCTGATTACATGAAATGGCCTCCTCTTTATCAACTGGTTTCCACTAATTACCACAGCCACAAAGTCAAAAAAGGTTAGGCATGAGGTTAGCAGCGTGGTTAAGGTTAGGATTAAGGTTAGGGTTAGATTTAAAATCACATTTTAAGAAGATACATTTTAGAAATAGGTAGGGTTTATTATTCTGTGGCTTTGGTAACTAGTGATGACCTTATCAACTTCCTGTTCAGACAGGATATAAACCCTGAAGCGATGTACTGACTTCCTGTGAATGATCAGTATCACTCAACTACTCTGTAGGAGTAAACATCACATATCCATGAAAAAAAAAAAAAGCTTTGTAGTTATGAAACATAATTACTGTGAAGTAAACTTGAACTTGTTGCAATGGGCAGCTGTATTAATTTTTATGTCCTTTGCTAAAACGCCTCGAGAAGTAGTCCTGAAATGTTTGTTTTGGGATACATTTGGTGTATGTGAGTGTTGTACTACCTCTACCCATGGCCCAGCCTGTTGTGGTACATGTTGTGGTACATATGGTTAGTCTGCACCACAGGATCATATGATCGAAGGATGTTCAGCTGCTCACACTTACAAGAGTAAAACACCTCTCCATCCAAAGGTTAAAGAGATCATTCAGCGATTTCATATTTCAATATTTGTTTCCTTATCTTGAAAGCAATCTATGGACAAGGAGGGACTGCAATCCACACTTTTTTGGTTTTGTAAACGACCCACTGCCAACAAATGCTATTATTACACTGAAAAAAATATAAACGCAACATGCAACAATTTCAACGATTTTACTGAGTTACATACAGTTCATATAAGGAAATCAGTCAATTGAAATAAATAAATTAGGCCCTATTCTATATATTTCACATGACTGGGAATACATATGCATCTGTTGGTCACAGATATCCACAGAAAACCAGTCGGTATCTGATGTGACCACCATTTATTTGCCTCATGCAGTGTGACACATCTCCTTCGCATAGAGTTGATCAGGTTATTGATTGTGGCCTGTGGAATGTTGTCCCACTCTTATTCTATGTCTGTGCGAAGTTGCTGGATATTGGTGGGAACTGGTACACGTCGATCCAAAGCATCCCAAACGTGCTCAATGGGTGACATGTCTGGTGAGTATGCAGGCCATGGAAGAACTGGGACATTTTCAGCTTCCAGGAATTGTGTACAGATTCTTGCGAAATGGGGCCGTGTATTGTCATGCTGAAACATGAGGTGATGGCGGCAGAAGAATGGCACAACAATGGGCCTCAGGACCTCATCACGTTATCTCTGTGCATTCAAATTGCCATTTGTAAAATGCAAATGTGTTCGTTGTCCGTGCTTATGCCTGCCCATACCATAACCACACCGGCACCATGGGGCACTCTGTTCATAACGTTGACATCAGCAAACCGCTTGCCCACACGACACCATCTCCACGGTACACTTGAAACCGGGATTAATCCATAAAGAGCACACTTCTCCAGCATGCAAGTGGCCAACAAAATCAGTTATGACGCCGAACTGCAGTCAGGTCAAGACCCTGGTGAGGACGACGAGCACGCAGATGAGCTTCCCTGAGATGGTTTCTCACAGTTTGTGCAGAAATACTTCGGTTGTGCAAACCCACAGTTTCATAATCTGTCCGGGTGACTGATCTCAGACGATCCCACAGGTGAATAAGCCAGATATGGAGGCCCTAGGCTGGCGTGGTAGGACGTAATGCCAGATTCTCTAAAATGACGTTGGAGGCGGCTTATGGTAGAGAAATGAACATAAAATTATCTGGCAACAGCTCTGGTGGACATTCCTGCAGTCAGCATAACAATTGCAAGCTCCCTCAAAACTTGAGACACTGTGTTGTGGGACAAAACTGCACATTTTAGAGTGGCCTTTTATTGTCCCCAGCACAAGGTGCACCTGTGTAATGATCATGCTGTTTAATCAGCTTCTTGATATGCCACACCTGTCAGGTGGATGGATTATTTAGGCAAAGTAGAAATGCTCACTAACAGGAATGTAAACAAATTTGAGAAGTATAAGCTTTTTGTGCATATGGAACATTTCTGGGATCTTTTATTTCAGCTCATGAAACATGGGACCAACACTTTACATGTTGCATTTATATTTTTGTTAAGTGTAGTAATATTGTACCATGTAAGTCAATCACAGGAGGTTGGTGGCACCTTAATTGGGGAGGACGGGCTCATGGTAATGGCTGGAGCGGAATTACTGGAGTGGTATCAAACACATGGTTTCTATGTGTAAAATGCCATTCCATTAGCGCCTTTCCAGCCATTATTATGAGCTGTCCTCCCCTCAGCAGCCTCCACTGGAGTCAATGTACCCCGTTAAAGATGGAATCAGCATTAGGGGAAACAGCGCCACTGTTCGCCCCCAGCGCCTTTGTAGTTGCTTTTGTTTTGTTGACTAAACAGAGGTGCGCAGTGTGGTTAAAAAAAATGCTGTAAATAGGTGTCAGAGCAAAATAATCAACTACCTTTATAATTATTACTGTACCATGAGTTCCCATCATGTATTTGAGGCAGAATATCTCAATTTCTCTTACAGGCCTAGTGTACACTTGATCAAATGACCCCACTATGGCTGATAAACTAAGAAAACATGCATGCATATTATATGAGGCTGCCAATTCAATTTTTCCATTGTCTGTGGCAGTAAATGGGTCGTTCCCAGGGCCGTAGCCAGGCTCTGGGTTTTAGTGAGGTCCGGACAGCCATTATCACATTGGTTGCTGTAGCTTCATTCACCTCAGTCAATCTACAAACACATAGCCTATTAGCTATACAATTAGCTCACAACACATTAACTCACAACCGGGATTAATTTACTATAATTTAATACAATTTAGCAGACACTCTTATCCAGAAGCAATTAGGGTTAAGTGCCTTGCTCAAGGGCACAGACTTTTCACCTAGTTGGCTCAGGAATTCAAACCAGCGACCTTTCAGTTACTGACCCAACACGCTTAACCACTAGGCTACCTGCCACCCAGCGGTGTATCACCTTTTGCAGTTTTAAAGCTAATTTCCTGCAATTCTACACATTTTACCATGACTTATGCCATGTTAAAGCCCCCATGCAGTCTTTGTAATTTTATTTTTAAATCATTGTATGTCTAATAAATCACTGTGTTTATTGAATGAAGATAACTAATTTCCCTTATTTTGCCCTTGAGATGCTCAGTCTGATCATGTGGGTGTTAGGAAACACATTTACAGATATTTACATACACAGCCCTGATTGGCTGATAGGATTGTCTATAGCCCACCCCCTTACTCAGATGAACAATCATTGGTCTATTATAATCAGCTCACATTATGACATCATGATGTGGGGCAAAAGTTCCATCCCACCTGAACAGGCAGAAATTCCAGGCTTTTGTTTCAAACAGCTCTTACACAAAAAGTGTGGAAGACATCATAGTGTGGACCCCATCATAATCAGAACACAACTTGAATTAGATAAAAAATAGCATCAGAGTTTTACTATGACTTTGGCAGTGCATGGCCGGACAAACCAAGTCTCGGGCCCTGGGATTGTCATTTTCTGCAATTCAACACATTTTGTCATGTGGCAGAGAGACTTTTTGTTGTTGCAGCTTTAAAGCTAAAATCCTGCAATTCTGCAAATTGTGCCATGAGGCAGAGAGAAACAATTGCATAACAGTGCATTTATGTTCAAAAACATTTTAAGGAGAATACAAGAAGTATTGGGTTGAAAAATGTATAATTGGTGGAGTACTGTGAATACCAATATCCCTGTGAGCCTCCCAGGCCCATGTTGCCCAGGGTTAACATTTTACTGCAGGGGGCTAAATCAGGGTCACACGGAGTGTTTCTTGGTAGTCTTAAACAAATCTACTTTGAAACCTCACACACATGGTTATGGGCTTAAAAAAAACTGAACCTCTGTCACGATCGTTGAGAGACGGGTCGGACCAAGGTGCAGCGTGAAAAGCGTACATGTTTATTAACTCAATAAACATACAACAAAACAAGAAACAACGTAACGTGAAGTCCTCAGGTTAAACACATACAAGCCTAAACGGAACAAAATCCCACAACTAAGGTAGGCAACCAGGCTACCTACGTATGATCCCCAATCAGAGACAACGAGCGACCGCTGTCTCTGATTGGGAATCACACCCGGCCAAACATAGAAATACAACCTAGATCTACCACATAGAAATACACTAACATAGATCTCAACAGAAAACTCACACCCTGACCCAACCTTCCTCCCACGATGCACCAAGCCCTGTCTGGACCCTGGTGTGGGAGGCCCCGACCCTGGAGAGGGGCTGACTTCTGGGTCTGGAGTGGAGCCGCTGATCGGAGCTGAACTAGACCCCGGTGGAGCGGACTGCTCTGGCTCTGGAGTGGAGCCGCTGACCGGAGCTGAACTAGACCCCGGTGGAGCGGACTGCTCTGGCTCTGGAGTGGAGCCGCTGACCGGAGCTGGACTGGGCACCGGTGGAGCGGACTGCTCTGGCTCCGGAGTGGATCTGCTGACCGGAGC